CCCCCCCTCCCCTTCACTTTGTAACTTCCACGTCGACAAAGAATAATGCATCTTAGGTATTCACTGGGTTTATTGTGGCTGGAATAAAGAATGCCGACTGTCATTAAGGCAAAAAGCAAGAAAAGGCTATATAAAAAGGGACAGCATTTGGGAAAAAATAATAAATTCCAAATTAAAGGGAAATTAAGAGTAAAAACATTCCAACCCTAGCAATTCGAATTCCAATGCCTATTCAGGAGGAACTTATGACAGTTGATGGGGTCTCTTTGTGGATTAGCACATATTTTCATACCTTGATTTCATAAAAGCACAAAGAACATTATGATGACAAAGAGAGTGCGAAACGAGAGATAATGTAAATTAAGTAAGAAAGTTAATTTATGATATTGCGCAGAATTTTGGCAGGAAAGCGAGATGAGCAACCAAATATGTACTTTGATCGGCTCGAGTGCTCAAGTTGTATTTATCACTCGTGAAGTGCGCATGTGAATTGTAAAGAGTACACTATCCTTTTTTGCCCGACAAAATAGATCCACAACTTAGAAATCTGCTCATCTGACGTGGAAGTCAGGGGGGGGGGCACTTTGGCAAAACACACCTTGATGGTGACCTCAATATTCATGTAGTAGTGATGGTAAAATAAAGTCACATATTAAATTCTAAACAAAATAATTCACACCTTTGAAGTAATAGAGGGATATTGTATTTATGCGTTGGCGAGTAAAAAATTTTTAATCGAATGTTAATCATGATAGCGCCAAAACAAAGCAAGGAAACTCAAGATTTGAATCATTAACCAATTGAAAAATCATAAAAATGGAACGGTAAATAGAAATTTAAAAAAGGCATCAAATATAAAAATGGACACTTGTGATAATGGATTTCAAGTAGTAAAGAGGTTTAATCCCTTACCGTCCAAATAGGTCGTTTAGCAGAAGCAGCAATTGGGAGGCAGTTTTATTAGAGCTCATATTGGTGAAGCCAACAATATCCGCGAAGAGGATACTAACATTCTCCATTTGATTGACGTGGAATTTACGAAATTTGACGGCATGTCCAGCAGAAGGACGACGATGTGCTGGCAGACTGGAGGAGGAGATCATTCGCATTTCACTGTTGTGTCCTCGATGTCGAGCTGAAATAAGCAGTATCAAATGGTGAATCCCCAGTATCTTCGATTATTTATAAGGAAAAGTAGTAAAGTGTGCATTAATCGTTTTACAATCAAGACGATGTTTAATTTCGTGTGTTTTTTATTCAATAATTAAGAAGGCAACATGTTCCTAAACACGCTAATCACCAGCTTGCAATTTTAACAAAACTCTATTTACCCAAAGTAACTAAACCAAAAATACAAAACTAGTGTGTCATGTCTCACTTCATGTGAGTGTACTTCCCATATAATCCTTAATAAAGAATACCAATGTGCCTTTATTCGGAAGCCCTTCAAGACAGATACTTTATTTTATTAAGCTAATTCTTGAAAGCCATTAATTAAACAATATTTACTCTTCATCCCATGTAAGTAGAAAATGTAAATTCAGTTTAACCACCTTGAATCTTTTCCCCTTGGTTCAAATTATAGAGCAGCGGTTAGTTTGCACCACAGGGTTCAAACGTAAAGAGATATTATCTCTCCGAGAATAGCCTAATGAGCATGGTAGGGCTCAGAGTCGCCACTGAGTAGAGAGGATAAAAACAAATATATTTTTTATTAATCACAGTTTAAAAAAATAGTTCCCATATTTTCTGTGGAAAACAACTGAAATTGGTCTAAAGAAAAGCCGATAATTGATAAAGGAGGGTGGGGGGGGGGGGGGGGGGGGGAGGGGTCAAAATGCTACATCGAAGTGTCTCCGGGTCTTACTCCATTAGATTTTTTGAACTTATTTACCAAATGGATAGTTCAGGTTCTGGTGGATAACCAGGAATGATTGAGAAGACAAAATCTCTCCTGCATACTATTCATTTGCTTGTAGTTCAACTTTAGACAAGAAGAGGTGGCAAAAAAGTTAGATTAGTGGGGCTCCGTAAATTGTGATCATTTTTTGCGGATGCTCAATTTGTACGAATACTCCCAATTTGCCTTTTAATTATAAACGCTAGAATTTCCTCTAATTCCGATTTCAATTTCTTTTATTTCCCATTTTCAATGGCATGAAATAAAAATTCATCTACCATAACGCAGGGGGGTTTTATCATTGCTTTGATGAAATCCACTTCCCATAGAGTCAGGGAAAGAGAGAGAGAGGGGGGAGCTTGGTTTCAGAATTAGAGCACCACAAAGCGAAAAGGCTACATTATGAAGCGTTAACAAAACGTGGGATCAGAAATACGTCAACGGGGAAGAGGTGAGAATGCCAGTATCCAAGATTCGATTCAAATTGTTGGACCATGGAATAATAAAACCTATTCTCCCATCAAACTTTGGCAGTTAAATATTCCATATTCGAATTATATCATCGAAATTAGCGTTAAATAATCTAATCATTTTAATTAGGCTGATTAAGGAGTAAAATTTGAGGTAAAAACTACACTAACTTCAAAAAACGGCACGTGGAACACAAAGAATATATAATTATTCTAAATACATGGCTATCCGACGAATTGAAGTGGGAATATTTCCATAGAGCCTTCAAGACTAAATCCAAGTTAGAAAAGAATTTCAATTTACATAAAAGACCGCTACAAAAGCTTGCGGGGATCCCTTCTCGGTGTACTATAATGCTATGCATCATATTAACCTATTCGTATGCTCTACGCGACCCCTAAATAAATGGACTCATTAGTAGAAGTTGATTTAACAGTTAAAGAAATAGCCCACAGTAAAAGCAAGTAGAAAATAAACCTTTTGGATCTCATGAAAATTCATACTTATTCGACTAAAATAAAGGTTGAATAATTATAAGCTTATTCAAATTATAATAGCTACCACCAAAATATACATTTTCAAAAGAATGTATACTGCTTTGTTCCAAATTTGCACAAATACGGTACCTGAAATGCAACTATCAAGTGCCCGAACAATTGAATTCCCCTTCAACTCGTGTTCATATAATTTTAGTAAAATTATTCAAATGAGCTCTAGGTATACAAGGACTCATGGACTGCATTTTCATGACCGCAATTAATCGATATCAACTATTCTTTCAAACACGATTCCACGGGATACGCTCTTTTCACCCAATTATTTACATAGTAAGATGAAAATTGTCCTCTTAATTGTAAATCTCCATATGAATAGAAATAGCAGAGTATTGCATTATGTGCTTTGCGTCACACCTGAAAACGAACATGAAAACGAGGGCATTAATCTCCTGCCTAGATTAAGTTATTAAGATCTCAACTCGTTGAATTTCAGTGCTATTGTTGGGACCCACTCAGATAATTCCAGAGTAATAAAGACATCAAAAAAGTGAGCCCCCAACACCGAACACCTGGTCTTCAATTAAATTAGTATAGCATTGTTCTTCCTACTTCTATCGGCCCCCTTCACACACATTTCAGATATCGAGCTTCTGTCACACTTCTAAATAAGATTAAGCCATCCCGGTCTCCTTGGATCCGAACTTCGCCCCCCACTGCTCTCTCTCTCTCACAATCTTGAGTTTTTAACTGCTATCGTACAACAGACTTTGATCTGCGGTCAACCCTTGGTGTGCCGCCCTCTTGGAAACTATGGCTCCTTGATCATATAAATCGTTAACCTCGGATTTTGTTACCAAACACATAATTGACCAAGATCTACCATTCCTTCCCATTCACTTGGACACTTAATCATCACAATCACAGCTGAATTCTAAATTTACGTACTTAGGAGAAGTTTTTAAACCTCAAAGTACAGTATCACACACTGCATTGGTGCGTATGTCATCGCATTCTTGCCTACCATTTCTGCCACCGCTAGTGGCATGAAGTTCTAACTAAACACTAAAACGCTTGTCTCTCTAGCTCCTAGTAATTACATGATTTAAGCCAAAAACAGCGGCAATCAGCCAGACGCCTTTATTAAAAAATATGCAATGCTGATTATGAACTCAAGAGATGCAAACGGCTTCTCACCACAAGGTGTATGAACACCCCCTCCCCCCCTACTTCGGTTATAAAAAAGATGTCGATTCAATAACTTTACAGCAGGACCACATATTTGAATTCGGTTGCGATGCGATATATTTGGCCTAAATAGATGCTAATAAAAATTAAAAAAAACTTAATGATAAGCAGAGTTGGCAGTGAATTCTAAACAGTAAAGATCAGTAGCTGTAAAGTGATGATTGAACCACAAAAGGAATAGCAAACTAAATCAATATTCTGCAAAGATACCCCCCCCCCTCCCCCAAATTATGAAGCAAAAATTCTCACTGACGGAGTAAGAGGAAAGGAAGAGTTTGTATATCTTACTTAAATATTTGTTCCCCAAGCGGCACTTTGATGGTAAGATTTATTCGCACGAAAGGCGAGGGTCACCATGTGATTGACGTACTTTCAGTTAACGATCCATTCAACAAAATGGGCATACTTTCTTGCTTAACAGTAAACAAATTAGAAACTACTGTGACATCATCCTAGCTTTTCATAATATTTTTTTCAGAGATATTGTTATAAATATGCACACAGTATTCGAAAGCAAGAAAAGAATGAGGCAAATAAAAGGCATTTTTATGAAAAAACTGATTGATTGAGTCCGTTCTCTGATTGTTAGATTCTTTTTTTTTCATTAATAGCCCAAAACTACTTATAATTCTTACCAAATGCGACATCCTAAACGTATAAAATTTGCAATAGGTAATTAAGTCATGAAAAGTGATGAGAGAATATATGATTTTTCATACTAAATTGGTAACTTTGAAAAAGTGAAGTAACGGTGTTGCACATAAAAATAATTGCAAGTCTGTATATCAGAATTGCAAGAACCCAATTTCTAAATACAACGAAACTTAGTGCGAATTTCACAAATTTGATGAATATTACTGAATAATCCTTCATGTGCTTGTACACTAATGAAATGAATGCTTTAGAGTGATAGTAGTATTTGAGCATTAGTGACAGTAGACAACAATGGAAATTCAATGTTTTCCTTATTACTACTGCAACAACTACCCATCGATCAACTTAACTGTCCGATGATAGTTGACCAATCACAGAACAGAATTACCTCCGCCTATCAACAATTGGTTTCTTCCAAATTCGCGTAACGAATAACGCATCACACTCATATATTTGTAATTAATAATCGCAAGGTAATTTTATCCGGCACTCTTGACTCATCAACGAAATCCTGATTAAACAAAAACTATGCAGTTAATATTTTTTCCCATATGGATAAAGTACCCAGGGAATAAGGAAAACGTGCCCAAATGGCAAATATCTCGTGACTTGGGTTCAATAGAGCAGAGCTACCTAGGCGTATAAAATGAAACGAAATTTGGTGCACAGAGATAAATTTGTAAAATCTTACGAAAATATCATCTAGTCCTTTAAAATATCCTGAAACAAATCAATTGATAAATGTTAATTTGAAAAAAAACTATTGACATATTTTAATGGCATCGAAAGTTGCCGAAATAAATAATTTCAACATTTCCCACATTAGAGAAAAAACAACAGTGAAAAGAGTAAAAAATAGTTTGTGGGTTCCACAATCCTAACACAACTAAACTAAGCAGTCTAATCTGCGATCGAAAATTCCGGTACGTGCTAATGTGTTGCTGATCGCGTTAGGGGGAGCAAATAAGGTCACGAGTGCAGAGACCTCTCGACCAATCCAATAGTCAATAGACATTGCAAGGTCAGTAGTGTAGCCAAAACAGTATTTAATAAATAAGATCAATGCCAATTCCCATGTAGATAAGACATACCACAGAACACACACAGCCATAACGAATGCATCCCACATCGAATGTTCTGCTTTCTTTACATCGTTGAGGTAACTTAGCTAACTTCGGAAGCCTTTCCACTCTAATGTATCCTGACATAGAGTTTACTGAGGGTAAGACTTATTCTTGTAGCCAGCCGCAAAAAGTTAAGAAGTGGAGACACCAAGAGTGTTAAAATTGATTTAGAACTCGCCGGACATTACTACAATCACTTTCGATGTCTTTCCAATTTGAGGGGAAAAAGACGAATAAATAACAAAATCGATTCAAAATGAAACATTTCCCTTGGGTCTTCAACAAATTTATAAAGGAAATACATAATTGAACCCAATGGGGATATACTCCACCAACCAATCTTTTAAAGTTATGCTCAAGTTAATTTTGATTTAAAAATAAAAACAAAATCAAAATCAAGTGCAATTTTAAGGCCTCCAAATTAAGCCCTAATTAGAGTTAAATGCCTACAAAATCCTAAACTCAAGTAACGAATCCAAGAGGGACCCTGGCTTTCTTCTAACTTTACTCCCCTCTTTCTTAAAAAGTTGGTACTATTGAGAGCGCTATTTCATTGTAACAAATACGCCTCCTTCATGTCAATTTTAAGCGTTATTTTTTTGTTTATTTGTCATGTTCACAATGCAAAAAGCATTATATTTTATATTAGCATTTTATTCAATCTTCAATTGATGATAAACATATTAATTTTAAGCTTTCCAATCACCGTAAGATCTAAAATTTAACTGATATTCATGTACGGAATTATTGGAGTCCGGAGCGTGAGAACATGGGCTCTAGAAAGCGTTGTCTTAGTAAAAAGCAGAACTTATGAGTCAAGAGAAAATAGAATAGAGAAATCTTGTAAGATATGGAATATACATTTCTACAGAAGCGAAGCAAGAATAGACCCGACTGATCCCCATCAGAAAACACTGCACCTAGAAACGAGTGAAAGGTTATTGGATAAAGTCATTGATCCACCAACACGAGGGGAAATAAAATGAAGCTTAGAAACACCCATTAAATAGCCTCCATCATTGCCTTCTTCTCCTCCTCCTCCTCCTATACCTCCTAATCTTTGCTTCCCTCTCGCCCTACACTCGGTGATGAGAATGAAGAGCGTTAAGTCGAGATTACAAATTCAAAAAACAATAGCGAATGCAAACAAACAAACAAATTGGGAAAAACGTGGCAGATTCGAGCAGAGTTAGAGCACTGTATCATTAGGTAAATATAGTAGTAATGAAGGATAAATTGCCTTTAAAATGTGGTTAATAAAAGGAGCAGTGAACACTTGGTTTTTGAATAGATTCCATGTGATGTTTCAGGTAAAATAGGAAGGCAGGAGTCTAGATGGTTTTAGTTCTATTGTATGGCATTATTATTATTATTATTTCAAATATAGTGTTTGAAGTGATCTGAACTGACGCAAGCCATGGAGGCCTCTAACGCGTACAACTTACCAACGAGAAAGCTTATGATCAAAGTCACTCAAACTCTTGTATTCCTCCAGGTCTTTATCGCACTTTACCTGTAAGAGTTCCCTTCATTGCTTGTAGTTCCCGACTTTGTTAACAAATCCTGGCACTAGAACCATCAAAGTGGAGTTTAGATAGGCACTAGCTCTAGCCAAGTCAGTATATCAGCAATTATCTCTCAGGTTAATCATAGCCGCCTGCTTGAGCAAGCCAATGCTAGTAAACTAGCGTCAAATGTGTAATCCAGTTTTGAACAAGGATATGCATGTCTTCCCCGCAGAATTAAAAAGCGTTTTCTTCCACATTCGATGGGTATAAACAAATCCACAAACTCCGATCAATAGTTACAAACCCCAGTAGCCAAATAGTCATCCCCATATGGAGTCAGCTCTCTATCCCCACTCAAAGCTGAACTCAGATCTTAGAGATCCCTAGATCAAGCCAAACCAGAAGAACTCAAGTCATTACTAGAATAATCTCTCAATTTAGCAATTATATTACTGTCTAGTTGAAAAAACCAACTGCGGAAAACACGCTCTTAGTCTGAAATTAAGCAGTTAACATGAAGATTCAAGTGAGGTGTCAACTAAGGGAATTTTTACATTTTTATATAGAAATTCAGTAACTTAATAAAAGCAATCATTCTGATCTAATATCCAAATTGATGAACGGAATTAAAGTGTGGTATTCACAAAACATTTAATTTACTAATTTTTCACCCCCATGGTTCTTCAATTTCGTTCAAATTCTTCGTGAACCATCAATCATGGCTACTCTACCTTTTAGGACATTCGTCCAATCAAATGATAATTTTGACTAACATCTCATTTGCATCAAATTTTAAATGTTATTCAACTTTTATATGGAAAGAAAATTGACATTTCACGGTAACTGAATGAATGCAACTTACAAGAGCCACCCCCCTCTATGTTCTTCAGAGGATCTGCCTCATCCCCACTGTAGTCTTCTGAGTCATCAAAGAGACTATCACTTTTGCGTCTCTTGCTCCTGATCTGTTTCACAGTCTTCTTGTATTTCTTATCCTTTCCCAGGTCATGCATTGCAAATTCCCCATCGTCAAATTCATTGCTATTGCTATCATTTCCTCCCACCGTAGAATTATCATCTTCATCTTCGCCTTCTTCACTGTCATAGGAACCTTGCATCACTTCACGAGCGACCTCCTGTGGCATTAGAGATTGAATCATCTCGTTCTGGAGTTGCTGCTCCTTCTCTATGGCCTTGCGCATCAAAGCACTGTGACCCAGACGCATAAACGTGGAGCGTCGACGCACCTAAGTAATAAATAAGAGCTGAATGAAGTAGTAGGTCGTGATGATTTCTCCCCCGATAAATCCTTGCACGCGCATACATCAAATTTTAGATAAACAGCAAAGAGGTTTATAAACCATTATTATGCAAAGAGACGGTAGATAAGGCTCCACTAAAACAGTGTATCTTATTGAAATGCTGGTTTTCCCTATCATACCAAAAGAGTACGTCTAAAGAACATGGATAGTTCAGAATTTGGTTATGCAAATATGAGCATAGCTGAAACGTGAGCTCCTCCCTTTTAAGTCGGAGTTCAAAAAAATTACTCATTAGCTTACGAAATTAGATTACAAACTCCTGACCAGATTATTTTAATGAATATTCACAACATGCATATTAAGAAGTTTGTTCCTGTTATAACGCCAAAGCAAATATATGCGTTGTGCTCAGGAGAAAGTGGTAAGCTTCATGTCTCATACACTGAATTGCCCACGATTGGGCTCCCATCCTCACATCGAGAAAAGTAAGGCCCTTCGTAGAGAATATGTTGATGAAAACAAACAGGCCCAATCATTTCTCATGCATTCAAGCCGCTATAAATGATTCTTTTGTTAAGTCAGAGATGTACTTTCAAAATATAACAATAAGTATATTATAAGTTTCTTTTTTATATAAATATATTTTTCTAGAATTGGAATAGATTTATCGGACTCTGGAACACCATCCCCCCCCCCCCCCCCCGGCGTCAGAGTTATTGAATTCAGTACTAGTTCTCCGGCAATCACTTAAATTATCTCTCTTCCCCAAGCATATTCAATTGGGTCTAAGTAACGATGGAACTTACGCATCTTTGACAATTTGTATGAGGCATCCCCAGTTCAGAGCGACTTAGTCAAATGGTTTTGAACTAGCCTTAACTCCTCAATTCTAGACTCAGAAAATATTATGGCAGTGTAATTTTACTCGGAAATGATTTGAGAATATTTTCGCATTCATTATACCTACCCTAAGCCTAGAGAATATTTAGTAAAAGGTAAGTGGTGGTTTTCAAGCTTCAGCTACTGTAACCGATGTTGAGCAGCTAGTGCAGTTTCCTCCCAATTTAAACTAGCACCTCTACGATCAAAATATAGACAGGTATATCCAGGCAGTGTGGTTGATTTCCTATTGTAATTCATCAATTAGAACCTAAAAAACTACTTTAAAATCTGGGGATAAAATCCTAGAGTATGAATAGTGAAAAGAACCATATTTATTTAATGGAAAGTAAACAGAGAAGCCAAAATTCTATGCCTTTACTCATCATTCCTGACTTGAAACTGATATTTGCCCTGATTTAGATCATTCCTCCGTTGTTTCATATTGAATAATAATTGGAGGCTTAAATACCCCATGCCTCCAGGAGAGTTCACAATGCGATTAGACACTCACGTCACAATAAAATTCTGGTAAAAAAGAAGTAGAGTAAAAGGGTGCAATAAAAAATTACGAAAAATAGAATAATTGTAAATACATATTCCAAACAGACGAAAAAGCAACCACATGTTCAACACTAATCATCTGTCAGTCCTTTTACTTTTTCGTTCAAAGGCATACACTTCTTCAATATTTGGGTTGAAAAATAAATAAAAAACTGATATTTCAACAAAACCGTACAAGGACTATAAAGAACAAAGGTCTTTTAAAAATAAGCTTGACGACCTGAAAATAATAAACAGCAGAGGAATATTATTTTAAGAGTTAAGCATTAAGCACCACAAAGAGTGTATAAGTGGAGCTTACCTGTGAGAGAATATGTTGCACAAATCCAACCATATGCGTACAACAGTGAAGAAGGACGTAAATGCAAACAAGTCTTGCATTTATCTTCCCACAAACGGTGCATGACAATGTGATATGAATGAGACTGACAGGACCACCAATTAAAATGACCTGCCATAGTCGAAGCGGGATATTGATATAGAGAGTGAGAAGCAATTGGACAATCAAACTTGAATTGAAAGCAGAGGAGACGCCAACAGTTGATGGAACAAACGCAAGAAGAAAGAGTAGACTGAAGAAGAGTGCTAATATTATGTATAAAACCAGAAAGTTTTTCTCAAATATGACCTTTGAACATGTAAGTATGAAGAGAATAATTGCAACGATTAAGCCAACCGCGGCCCCCGCCACGTAAACAGCCCACTGTTCCGTACCAGTGACCGCAAAGAAGATCATCCATGTTGCACAAACAAGAGCAAAATATGAAACAGCAATGCGAAATCTTGATAACGAGTGAGGAAACGAGCACAAGGTATAATAACTTTCTAAAACCGTAGAATCAAATCGCAAGTTAAGAACGCCACCGGAGCATCGTTCAAATAAATTAAACTTAAATTTATTCGGCGTGTTTTTCCTATTTACTGGTTCCTTCCCATCAACTAGAACCTTGGGACCAGCCATTTTTGGGAATGACACCCGAGAGCATCAATTCTCCTGCAATGTTACTATAACCAATTACGGCAAAGCCTTCATCACACAAGAGGTAAGTATAGGATTGGGTAAACTAAGTCCATTTTGAATAATAAAACAAATCTATCACTCTCTATTGTTCTTAATTTTCAAAATTACTGTATTAAATACAGGCACGAAACTTTTATACCTGTATAATTTTGATTAATTTTTACTATTGCACAGTATTATTTAAGTTGTATTTATTTAAATTATATCTACTTGTTTCCAACTTCTAAATATCAATTGAATTTTTCCTTGACTAGATCGCAACAAATAATTGTTACAGAAATCAAAATTTTAATGCTATATACATAAAATATTAGTTGCCATTTGATTGATATCAGATTCACTTTCAAAATTATGATCATGTATCTTTTTTTAAAGATACTTTACAATTTGACAAAAGCTTTATATGCGGAAACATGAAACATGGTTTGTCAACAGGCAGTTAGCTCGATCTTTTTAGTTGAATTTTAATGGTATTAATAGTTATACTTCCAAAATAAGTGCGTTTGAGATTATATTATTCCAAATAAGAAAGAGACAACTGCCTTTTCTTGATATTTTACATTTATGCGGATCTGGGACAAACAGAAGTTTTTAGGTCAGGTCACTCATTTTGCTAAAACAATTTGGAAGTGGCGGAAAGTCACTTCGTGTCATTAATAAATAAATTCGAGCACCAATATAAACGCATCCTCCCGAGACGTCAGTCACGTCTAGTAGTCATTTCCTTGTGAATGAATGGCCCATAAAACAGCCAGGAAAAAGGCTTTAACTTAACGCTTATACCCCATGCCGGTATAGGTGACTTTACTTGTAACTACTACCTGACCCAGTCTAAATCATATTAAACTCTATTTTGAAGCAAAGATTCTTCTCATTTATAGGAGGAATAGTTCAATGTCTGTCACCACGATATTTCTGACTTCTAGATATCCACAGGCTATAGTTGATCTAAGGTACTTTATTAGATAAGGGTTTTAATATCAATGCAGTTATTCTTCTTACTGTTTAATTTTCGAAGTAAAAACATTGCCAGACTAAATGGAATTGTTGGGTCAGATAACTGTCAAGCTGCCAGGAGCTTTGTGATAGATAGAGTAGCGACTAACAACGGAAATACCTTTTTCCCAAGACAAAATGCAAACACTGCACCTATGAGCTTTGTAGTGTCAGTTTCATAACCACTTTTAACATTTCTTTCCAAAGTCATATTAATCTATAAATTCGGCCGCTTGTTTGCTTCCTAGACAAAACACAACTTACACTTGACTTTGTTTAGATGGCATCGAGTACTTGAATGAACCTTATTCTAGTTAATCATGAAGTTGATTCCTCATTTTTATAGTCACAAAATTATCATGTGAAACGGACACACTTGACATGGAATTTATTTTTTTATTTTAATTTTCTTAAACGGCTCAGGAGTCCTTTTTTGTACTACTCTATTTTTGTTTGGTTGGAGCATTAACTTGTAATGACCAATCGTCCTAACTGGACTTCATAGCTGAGTACTGATTTTCTAATATTAATAACGTGTCCTTTTATGCTGTTGGACAAGTTGATGTGTAGCTACAGTTGTGTAAATGTAGTAAATTGGAATTAGAAACTTCCAGGAAATTTGATCGACTGGTCTAGGGAGTAGCAGCATTTTACTAATCATTCAACTGAGAGCTATCATGAAAAATATCATCAAGCCTATAATTTTCACTAGATGTCAAATGCATTTCCAATAGAATCTATGAGAAGTTTCGTGAAGTTGTCCAATTACTACTTGAGAATGTTGTGAGATGCCAGGTGAAAACCCATTAACGCTAATAGATTCCTAATTTCGCTTAACAAAAGCCCAAATTAATCGTCCCTATCTCCAACTCATTTTTTGCATTGCATGCTCTCGAATGTGCGCATTATTGTGTTAAGAATTATTGTGGTGAGCGCAGCACTCTTCTGTATAGCCACGGGTTCGACGTCTACCGGTGCAAACCCATTGAAAGGAATAGGTAACCCCACTGACTAAGTTTTTTCAATAGTAAATCGCACTCCTCATAATGGTGGACGAAGGATGCAACTACCCCAATATAGCCAGGGGGGTTAGGTTGAGGATTAATATTGTCATTACTAGTCACACCTAAAATAAGGGGTTAACGAGTCCCTCTCTTGATGGATAGAAAAATTGTTTACTCTATTCTAGCATCCACTTGAAAATAACCTAACGCAACCCAGACAGAACCAGGAAGGGCAAATTGCGTGTTCTTGACATTAGCAGAAAACACTTTGTGAATATAAAGAATATGCACAATATAAAGTGGCATTGCAGAAATGGCCACGTCTTCTTGAGGAATGTTTTTAAGAATATCTTCTTAGCACAAGCAGTAGCAGATGCATGACTTCGGTATACGAAGTCCAGAACCGGCCCTAAACATTAGTTGAATGAAGTAGCAGTTAAACAACACATCAGGATAAAAGTTGAGAAACATTGAAAAGCACAGATGATATCAATTGTCAAAAACATCAAAGTCTATCACCTCTCCCGCAGGCATTATGTTGAATAGACTATCGTTGATTTTCGACATTCTTAGCCTGAAAACAAAATGCTACAGGAGGTGCACAAATATGCTATTGCAATACTTTTAAAACATCATAGGTGCTTCCAATAGGAGCAACTATAATTGCTTTCCCTTATAAACATCTCATCTTCTAAGTGACCCTTTTAGGAATATTGTGCTTCCCGCTTGGAATGTGATGCACTCCCAACAGGCCTCTCATCCACTTAATCAAATTACCTTCATGAGAGCATATTTTTGTCAATTTTGCTTCTGTTTCATAATGCTACAGGATTTATCGAACCATTTGCGGATTTGTAGTAAGTGTTAACATAGATGATTATTGATGAAAAGAAATAAAGAAATCCATCTAGGAAGGCTAAAACGAACAAAAAGACAAATTCAAAACATTAATGCATCTTTTTGTAATCAAATTTAGACGTAGACATCATTGGCTTCAAAAGATATTACAATTGGACCACAAATTAAGTCCATTCAATTCGATTGATATCAATTCCATGGCATTGTAAACAATGAGAAAACCAGATTGGTTACCAGAAGAGGAACTCCCTTGTCTTCTTCAACGTCAAGGACCTTTTACATTAGGTTCCATCTCACTTGAATGTTTAGCGAACATTACCCCTCCTTCAGTTGAGCCCAAGTCGATTCACTGTCCACTGTATATGGTAGGCGGGGTGTACAATTAAACGGCAGTTGACATCTGACTTCAAACTACCATCACCCCACTGTATGTCATAGTCGACCACTTTCACATTACTCGCTTCACCTTTTTTCTACCTTTGTGTCTGTCTTTTTTACATCTTTGAAACACTCTTCTGTTCCCCCCCCCCCCTCCTCTCGACTTTTTCACTTTGATGTTCCTCTCCCTCTGTGAAGCCTGAAGTCAACTAAAGGGCTAATGATAACTATCAGAACGCCTGTCATTTGATATAAATAAAAAATATGTGGTATGCTGTGAAGCTTAGTAACTAAACAAAAAATAAATTTTCCAAAGCGTCGTAAGTCTATGAAGAAACAAACCTGAGAATTTGTACCTGACAGGTCCTAAGATTACGCAGTAAACCGACGCTAGTCTGATCTGCATACATTCTAGTTGACTGTCCCCCCCCCTAACCCCCC